TATCTGAAAAAAATCGTAGAATACGAAAACATTGGTGAATGCCACAAATTCTCCTAAATCACTCGTATGCACAATTTAAGAACAAATCTGTGCGTACGAACRGTTCTTGCATGAGGCCCATTGCTTCTAAATTGACCAGATGATCCCKGGTAAGGTCAGCAGAAACAGCTCAGCTGTCTCTGGATATGCAGCAACCTGGTAATAACAATGAGACAGCTTCAGATATCAGGAAGATGTAAAGAGTAAAACCAGAGCCTACAGAATCATACAGAACAGAACACTGCACATTATTTAAAGTTTGTCATTAGGACAACTAGAGTTCAACACAAACTCATAGACTTACCCAGTAATAAGGAAATCCACAGCATGGTCCTTTTAATGCCTAGAGGTGTAAAAACATGCAGTGTATCTGTCGCTCAATGAGAAGTTGTGTACTTAACATTAAAATTCAGTGTATCTTCTTTGTATACCTGGACACACAGGAGACATTTCCAAACTCCTCAGTGCCATCCTTTATCTTTGTCTTGATTTTATCTGTTCTGAATTTGCAATTACACCTACTTATCCCTCAACTCCATGTATTCTCCCTAAGTCTTTATTTCTTTATATGCAAAAGACTGATTAACGTATCACATATTGCCAGTCATCCATCAGGAGATCTGTTGCATCGTTTGTTCAGACCTCTCCAGAGGGGTAACAGCATTTAATGTGAAGGCAAGACCTCTACAAGAAAACAGTGATGTTTATATACATATACATATACATATACATATACATATACATAAATTTTTTCTGGTAATTTCCCAAAGATTTACTCTTTAGCTACATTAGCGAACCCCAGCCAGAAAATGATGAAGCATACTGGTGTTTCATGATGTTCCTTTGTTTCTTTAGCCTTTTTGTAAGAGCCACAGGGTATAAAATTAGCATAAATTAGCTCTTACTTGCACAAATAATAACTGAATGTCTCTTGAAAGCTTGAACCTTTTRCATATTCTTAAAAACTCAAAAACAAATCTAAATTCCAGGTAAACTTTTAGTGTGTTAAAGTTCTCCTTATGACATGGACTTTGCGGCTAGACTTTAGCATTTGAACCGTAGCTTACTAGCGCTCTAAAGCTCTAATATCAATGTAGAACCTGACACATACATAAAATTATCCATCTGTAACAGTAGTAAACATAATAAAACAAACAATACTTTGCTCCCATTCTATGGGCACTTATATAGTTTGCAAAGCCTTGGAAACTTTAGCCGTCTTCCTTAGAAAAGTTCCCTCATCTATTTCTGCTGAAATCAAACTACCAACACAAACATAGATGCAGATAATTTAACAGGAAGTGTACCAAAATAAAAGTCAATTTAAAGAAAATTCTCAAAATAAAATCCTCAGACAAAAGTTATACTGAGGAGCATTTCTGGGTCCGTTACACATGCCTCATATTACAGTCAGTAGAAGTGGGGCCCGCGGGCCAAAATTGGCCCGCCGGGCCATTTCATTTGGCCCACCAGCAGTTGTCCTGGTTACTAGATTGTAATTATGTTAAGATTAAATATAAAATATAAGTAACTACAAGAGGCATTTAGATTAGATTTAAGCCAATATATAGATTTGTTCAACTTATAAAACCACATATACTCCCATGAGCCTTCGCTGCCTGAGCATACTTTGAATTTTCTCCATGGGCTGAAAAAAAAAGAATGTGGGCAACCACACTGGCTGCTAGCTTAATCATAAAAAATAAAACAACTTTACTTAAGTATTTGCATTTTTTCATATTATTGCATTTGGCCCGCGGCCCTCATATTGATTTTAATTTTGGCCCTCTCAGGGAAAATGTTTTTTTAATTTTGGCCCTCATAGGGAAAATGTTTGGGCACCCCTGGTATAAAGACTCTGCAAAGAATRATCAGTTCAACAATAACTATTACAATACCTTCAAAAACAAATATACCCTGCTGTTCCATCTTATTCCCCATCTGCTGGAAATATCTGTGAATACCTTCTAAAACCACACTTATAATCAAATGCAACATTGTATCAAAACATACATTAATAAGTAAAAGAAAGAACATTCTCCCACTGCATGGTGGAATCATTATAGCTCAGCATGACCTGTGTCTGGGTTGGATGGCTACAACAAACATATGCCAGTGGTGCCCAGTCCTGGTCATCAAGGGCCACCATCCTGCATGTTTCAACACACCTGTTTTTTTAAAGTGATTAACAAGCTTCTGCAGAACTTGAAGACCTGCAGAAGAACAGGGAAACAACTAAAACAGGACAGTGGTTTTTGAGAACCAGGATTGAGGAGCACTACTTTAAGGTCTTTATGGGATCTTCTGGTCCTCCGGTATAGAATAAATACCTGATGTCAAACCCATTCTAAGTGAAGCCCTGAAACCAATATTACCTCTATAATTGATATTCCCCATTTTCAAGCTGAGAACCACACTTCACAATGATACATAGGTATATTAAAATTAAACTGTTTATTTGTCATTTGTAGGTTAGCACAGTGGATCAAAACTACAACAGAACAAGGTGGACCAGAAGAACCAGTAAACTCAACAAGTGTCATAAAATATCTATCACATAAACACAGAGTATTTTGAACTTTGCTCGTTTCTTAAGTGATGGTAAATATTTCACTACTGGTGATAAAAAAATTTTCCGATCTCCTGTTGTTCACACGAGCGCTCTTTTCAAGCCAAATGGATGCTGCAAATTGTGACAATCGTTTTGACTCCAGACATTTACTGAATGCTTTTTCCACCTTGCCTTTTAATTGTCAATTTAACAGCATGTGGCACTGCAGCATTCCTCCAACCAGCSTGCAGCCTGAAGCAGGTACTTCAGGTGTGTCATAAAGAGAAAATGTTAACCACTGACTCAAACCYCACACCGAGGAGACAAACAAACAAACACTCCACGTGTGGGCTGCCATTAAATGTTCCCAGAAGCCCATGAAGGTTCCAACATCCTCATTAAGACTGTGCTGAAGTCACTCAAATACAGTAACTAGCAGTGCTGGAGATGTAAGTACTGATTTAAAGATGAGGTCRTTCATGTGGCAGAGACAGAGGGAARCAGTGCTGGTGTTGGAGGAAGGAGGAGGCGGGGCTTATTGATAACTGTTGACTTTACATTTTCCATTGTGACAGTTTGCTCTGTACTGTAATGTCATAAAACAGGAATCAGCAGTTCTATCATACGAGAGACAGTCGCTGCTTCAGCTGACAAATGTGAGTATGAACAAAATGTAACATAAAATGCTAAAAAATGCTTTGTATTTTAAAAGATTGGACTAAATATTTTATGAATGCAGCGYTGTTTAGAGATAACCTATAATGCTGCTGTTTATGTTTTCATGAGCTTTCTCCTCAAGGTTCACGGTGTTGTTTTTCTACTGTTTCTGGGGTAATATTAGAAAAATAGTTCAGCGAATGTGGTTAATTTATTAATGTGCCTTTTTTATTAGATGTGTAGTAGGGATGAAATCATATTAATTAACCATTAGAGTCAGACAAACAACACATTTTGGATACAAAGATTGCATAAATAAATCTGATTTATCACCTTAAATCTTTCATGTGTTTCCATGTAAGGCAACGGTGCAGCACATTTGGAAAACTGCAACAACCTCTGCTGAGAAAGTGGGGGAAAAGAGGAAAAAATTATGGTGAAATTTTGAAAGCTCAGCAGCTGCTGCTCAAATTTTCAACATCAGTTTTGTAACTAAAGCAACTTAAAAAAATCCTACATTTTGGTGTATTAGCTGTATACAAAGCGCAAAGAGAACCAAGATTAATGTTTAAGCTGCTGCATTTGCCTCAATTAGGCTACCATGGTAACCACACACCTGTGTCTGTCACTCCCTGAGAGCCAAGTTAATGAGAGGTAGACCGAAACAATGAAAAAGAATTCCTCTTGAACTAAAGAGACTTTTATTGTGAAAAATTATATA